TTTTATAACCAGAATATACACACACGTATATGCTGATCTTCAACTCATAGTGACCCCATGTGACAGAGTAGAATTGCCCCACAGGGTTTTCTAGGCTGTAATCTTTACGGGAGCAAATCCCCAGGTCTTTCTTCCATGAAGGTCCTGAGTGGGTTCAAACCACCAACCTTTCACCTAGTAGCTAAGTGCCACCAGAGCTCCCTTGTATTTATGTATATTTAAGAATAACCCTGCTCCAACTCATTGTCTTTTCTCCTTTCCTTTTACCTACACCTGCCTTGTACTCCAGGTTTCTCCTCCTTGTCCCCTCCCTTGGGTATTTCCCATTATCCATGGCCCCAGTCTTAAATCTTTGATCTTTGAATAAGGGATTACATTTCAATTGGGATAGCCAATTTAAAAAGTCAGTTTGCCCAGGGGAACGGTCATTTATTTAGTACCTTGCGATGTCTGTCACTATTAATTGTGGACCAAAAGCACTAGGCGGTGCAACCAGCTAATTGGACCCCCGTCCTACATGCATTCATTCCCAAGTGCTCACTGAGCTCCAGCCACCGGCGTCTCGGGTTCCCAGTGCTGCTGTGACACAAATACCACATGTGGGAGGCTTTGAAAACAGACATACATTGTTCTCACAATGCAGGAGGCTGGAAGTCCGAATCCAGGGCCTGGCTCTAGGGGGATGTCCTTCCTCATCTAGTTCAGCTTCTAGTAGCTGTGGCAATTCTTACAGATGCATCTGTCTCCATTGTCTATCTTCCTCTCCTCCCTGTGTGTCTCTGTATCTAATCTGCTCTTTTTATAACTTAGAAGTGATTAGATTTAGAACCTACCCTACTGAGATAAGATCTAGTTAACATAAAAAAGAAAACTCTTATTTCCAACAGGATTACATCGACAGGTACAGGGGTTAGGATTCCAGCACAAAATTTAGGGGTGGGGGAGAGGGACACAATTCAGTCCATAACAACAGGCCAGACCCTGAGTCATCAGGCTGAACAAGACAGACTGGCTTCTGCCCTCACAAAGCATGTAGTCCGCCAGGAGGGGCAGGTTGCCAGCAAGCCATTGCCGTACTGAATAAGTGCAGGCTCCAGTCCCATAATACAGGGGACCCAAACTGGGCTGCCCAGCCACCACCCTCACGAGTGCCGCCGTTGTCATTTACATGATGTTTTCTGTATATGGAATCACCTTTTTTATTTATAAAAATACATTAACTTAAAAACATAGCTGTTAATATCGTTACTATAAATGGAAAACCAGTACCACTTGCCATAAGTAAAAGTAAGTACATTCAGCAGCAATATGATTAAAATCTAGTTATTTGCTGTTGCCACTCTCTCTTTATTAAAAGGAAAGATTAGCAAGTATTGAAGAGATGCTGAAGACTTAGTGCTACAGATTGAGACTTGCTGCTGGAGCAGTTCAAAGGCCTTCAAGGGAATTTTAAAAAGGAATGACTTTCTCGCTGTGAGACTCAGCGTTATTTCACACCCTGGCCCCTCTCTGTCTGAAATCATCTCCCAGCCCACCTGAAGCAATCTCGGGCACAGGAGTGAGACTCCTTATACCAGTCATGTCCTGGCAGGGGAATTCCCCCAGGAGACTCTAAGGGAAGAACGACTCACGAAGTCCTGGGCACGATTCACAGGAACATGACAGAGATGGGGATGCACCCAGAGACCAGCAACAGAGGGGAACCATTGCCTCCTGTCGTAGCTTCCTAGTGCTGCTGTAGCAAACTCCGCCACAAGTGGGTGGCTTTGAAGAACAGGTATTTAGTTTCTCACAGTTCTGAAGGCTAGGAGTTCAGTCCAGGCTCTTGGCTTGCTGATTGCTTCTGTGTCCTCTGCTGGTTTCTGGAGGACGCAGGTCATCACATGGTGACTGTCTTCCCCTTATTGTGTATCTGTGTCTTTTCTGCTCTTTTTGTAAAACACCTCTCTGAAATGATTGGGTTTAGGACCCACCCTACACTGGTATGAGCTCATTAATGTAATAAAAGAAAACCTCCACTTCCAAACAGGGTCACATTCACAGGAACAGATGTTAGGACTTCAGCATAACTTTTGGGGGAACACAGTTCATTCCATAGCACCTTCCCTAGGGATGAAAGGACAAGAGGAGGAAATGGTACTACTGAGAAAGCTGACTCCTGGGGAGAAGCTAATCGGATGGAGCGAGAGTCATGTTATTGTTAGCTGCTGTCAAGTCAGCTCCAACTCATGGCAACCTTATGCAAACAGAGCGAAACTGCTCAGTCCTGCGTCATTGTCGTAAACACCAGCATGTTCGAGTCCATCACTGTGGCTGATCCGTCTCACCAAGGGTCTCCCTCTACCTCACAAAACATGGTGTCCTCTAGCGATTAATCTCTCCTGATGGCGTGTCCAAACAAGCAAGTTGGACAATATTCTGTTGTGATCCATAAGGTTTTTATTGGCTAATTTTTTGGAAGTAGATTGCCAGTTCTTTCTTCCTAGTCTGTCTGAGCCTGGAAGCTCTGCTAAAACCTGTCCACCATGGGTGACCCTGCTGGTGTTTGAAATATTGGTGGCATATCTTCCAGCAACACGTAAGCACCACAGTATAACAAACTGATAGACAGGTGGTGGAAAGTCATAGACACAAGTACTGCCTGAGAAGCAGGAAGCGAGTGGGGAAGAAATACCCTGACCTTTTTCTCCTCCTGCCCTCTCCAGTGCCTCCCATTGGCTGACGCCAACCAGAAACCAAATGGCAAGGAAGCCTGGGAGATATAGTCCATAGGATCAGCCTCTTGGAACACAGAACAGGGCAGAGGAGGGATATGGGAAGGTGGAGCAAACAGATCAAATCCATACACCGTAGCACACAGAACACATGAGGGGCCCATCCACACCCAGCTTGAACCACATGTGGGGGTGGGGGAGGAAGGTGTTTCAGAAAACAGAAAGCTCACAGGCAGAGGCTGGGTGGCGTGCGTGGAGGGGCAGGCATGTATAGTGCCCCGTACAAGGTGTAACTTCCTTCCTTTCTGGCCTGCAGTCTCCGTGAGCACCAACAATCTGTACCCCGGCTGTGAGAACGTGAGCGTGAGGAGCCGCAGCATGATGTTCGAGCCGGGGCTCACCAAAGGGGTGCTGGAGGTGTTTGTGGCCCCACCGCCCCACCCACACTGCTCCGCCGATGACCAGGCCACCAAGGCCGTCGACGTCCAGAATGCCTATTTGAACGGTACGCACGC